AATCAAGGTCCACCTTAACTCGAGCCTAAGATAAAATTGTGATTATTTATTTATTTATGTATTTATTTTGCATATATTCAGTCCAAATAATTTAAGGGAAGTTTACACCACTTGACCAATAAAATAAGTGAAAATTACACTAGATCGAGCTTTTCAAGATTATAGTTCAAAAATCAAATAATAAGTTTATTTGCGCCTCGTTTGGCCCTCATTCAAATTTGAAAACATTTTTCTCTCTTCTTTTCAACCAAATATTCTGTAATAAAATAATATTACGCTTAAATCGAAAAAATTTCTTTCTTTTTCAACCATTCAATCTAAAAAAAATTATTCTTAAAATAATCTTAAAAAATGGGCCAAACAGGCCCTTAATTATAAATCATGTGTTAATTTAACTATTAATATTAATAACATAAAATATATCCTACCACATCCCATCCCATCCCAATCCATTTTAATCTCAAACCCTAAAATCCATTTCTCTCCATCTTCTCTCTTCTCATTCTCATCACCTAACTCACACATTTGGCGCCTCCACACCCATCGTCGGAGATCACCGTCAAACTCACAACAATAGTTGCTCACCATGGACTACTGACGGCTCGCTTAAGCTAAAGCCGCTATTAAATGCCAGATTGCTGAATATCTGATATTTGAATACTGTTGCCGCTAGAGATTTGCATTGTCGTCTCACTGAAAGTAGAGAACCTACAACGTTGGCGTCTGAGATCAATGATGCCGCCTTCTCTTCGATCTGTACCGCCGATTTAGAGTTTGCACCTCCATGACGGAGAGTTTTGAGTGCCGCTGCTGGAGAATGATGATGGTGTTAATTTGCTGCATTTGCGGTGTTCTTGGTCTGTTGGTTTTTGCACTGGTGGTGGTTTTCATGTTTTGATATTAGGCTGGTTTTTGTTGGTAGTGGATCTAGCGATGGAGATTTTGTTGGTGGTGGTGATGTTGGTAGTACTGGTGTTTTGGTGGCGACGATGGTGGTGGCGATGGCGGGGTGGGGGTGGTCACAAGTGGCCATGGTGGTAGTAGTGGTGGGGTGGCGGCAATGTTCGTGGTTGTGGTGGTATGTAACCAACTATTTGGTGTATGTGACCAACTATTTGGTTAAATTAAATAATTTATGCATGAAAAATAATTTGTGAACAACTAATTTGAAAATCTATAACTGACAAATAAACTGTGACTTATAATTTTTTTGATTTGTGAGCTATCAAATTTTTTTTTATTGTGATCATGAAATAATCTATGACCAATAAACAAGTTGGGACCTATAAGTACGTACGTGTGATCATTAATTGTATAATTGTGACATTAATATATTTAATTATTTAATTAATACATGAGTTTTGAATTTTGAAACTTAAGACTTGAAAATTGAATTGCCTCACACTTAATGACTGGCTTGCGAATTTTTCTCTAAAATAAACTAATTACATAACTACATACTAATAAATGTTACATTTGTAACATAATTATTTGATACATGTAAATGAACTTTGTAAACTCATCCATCATCTGGTTTTCTTTCATGGTTGTGCTACATTTACATATTGATTTTATATATATAAGATGTGGTGAGATATAATTGGATTAGAATTTCTTCAACCAAACAAAAAAATAAAATAAAATTCCTCCCTCTTTTTGACACATCGTTTGTATGTAAATCATTATATAACTTCATTATATACAAATAACATTATTCTTTCACTAATGGCACCCCATTCCATCTTAGCATGTTGCCTTCAACGGGTTAAATCCATCCATGACATTTTACTTTATACTTAATGTTTCAATAGTCGCCCAAATCGATTTTGATTCACCATGGTCATTGTATTTTATATTTAGTGTCAACATGGCCACTGAAATTACTTTTGATTTATCATGATCACCAAACTTCATATAATGTTTCAGTAAAACCAACTGATTATTGCCACAATAAAAAAAAATACACACATATTAAAAAAAAATTACACATAATTATTATCACAACAAAAAAGAATGAGAATCAGAAACAAACACACACACACACACACAACTTGGTAATTATTACAAAAGTTTAAAAAA